TCTCTTCTCCTCCATTCTCCTCAGGATCTTGGGCACACACACACACACACGCACCCGGCGTGAGTTTAAGCCACTGTGTCCGCAGTTGACTACATGGGAGTCCAGTGACATAGCCATTACGCTAACTGCTAGTCCCAAGCAAATGGTATTTTGAACAACTGGCTCTCCATTTTGAACATTCAAACACAGACACACACACATAAAGGTGAATCCCTACCTAATTCCTTACATCAAAATAAATCCCAAGTAGATTAAAGAGTAAACAAAGAAATATTAAATACTAAAACTGCTAGAAAAATGCACAGATGGGACCAGTCAGGTGTGGTGGTATTAAGGCAGAGGGATCCCATGTGGCCAACTACACAGTTCAAGTCCCAGACCTGGTGACTTGAAGAACATGCTGGGCATGTGTTTCTGTGTACTCAAAATCTCAAAAGGAGAATGGAGGGGAAGGGATTGCAGCATGGCCATCCCCCCAGGGGATGATTTCTCATTTTCCCTCTGTCTCCCTCTTTGTCCCTGGCATGCACATGTGCCCTATAGTAAGCAAAAAAAAGAAGCATGGCAAGATTATGCCATGAAGCTTCTCCTAAAGACTGTTCCATGGTTGCTTAGAACAATAAGGTTTCCATGGCCTTTGTCTCTGTAAAAAGCAGAATTTTTATTTCAGAAAACATGGCTGAGACAAGCAGATGGCATGGTGGTTAAGATGTTGGACTCTCACATGGCTGACTGCAGTTCAAGTCCTGGACCAGTAGCTTGAAACACAGACCAGGCATGTGTGCATGTGTACTCAAAATCCCAGGAGGAGAATGGAGGAGAAAAGATTGTGGCATGGCCAACCCCCTTGGGGAGGTAATTTCTCATTTTCCCTCTCTCTCTGTCTCTCTCAAGCACAGGTACCAAATGGCAGGGGAAAAAAAGTGGCCAAAAGTGGGGGGTCAGAGAGGAGGAAAAGGTGGAGAAGCTCTGGAAAATTACCCTTCTGGGGACAGAGGCAGAGACAGGAACTACTAGATCCCAGGTCAGCAGCTTTCCAAATGCAGGGACAATGGCACACCCTGGGCTGGGAGAGAGCAACTGCAGTCCTGCTTTCTCAAGATGAAGACCATGCTGCCAGCTGGACATTGGACTACACCTAGATCAGAGTCACCAGAGTATGGATACATTTGCCTAGAGACACTTAAGTATTAGGCAGAAGGTCAGGTCAGCTGAGTGGTAACATTCTCAAGGTTCCATAACTTTTATTCCCCACTTTAGTCAGTGAAGAAAGCCATTTTGATGACTAATTTGCAGATTAAAAATGAAGGTCTTAGCCCAGCCTAGTGGTGTAATCAGTAGGAAACTGAACTGCAGTGCTGGAAGCCATGTGGCTGACCACAAGTTCAGATGTCTGGTTGGCCTGAAATACACCCAAGCTCCTGGCAAGCTGTAGGACTGAGAGAAAGAGATAACAGTATGACAAGACCCTGTCAAGGGTGCTTCTCTCCACCACCCCACCCCATGCATACACACATGCTGTCTACTGTGAATAAAATTAACTTTACAAATAAATAAATTTTAAAAATGGAGACCCTGAAAGTCTTGCTTATGGCCTCTTCTAATTATCACAAAGAGCCACAGAATCTCAGTAGAGCAAGGGGGAGCTTTAAAGACTGCTAATCTCAGGCTCCATTGCCCACTTTACACTCAGGCCTAGCAAGGCCTGCTCACTGGATTCAACCCAAGCTGAATGTGTGTGTTTTCTGCCTCTTGGACCATCCCAAGACCCACCCACATATTGGTAAATGCGCAAAGTGGACTGTGCCTTCAGCAGATTTACCATAACACTGTCAAGACCTAGACTGTATTCAAGGTTTGCAAATGAAACCTCAGTTCCTGGCATCTGGGTTGGGTTCAGCTGTGTGACCTGGGGAAGACACTCCCCTTGGTGAGTAGGTCCTATGCGGCCTCCTTCCTGACCTCCTAGGACTTTCCAAGTTCTGCCTTTGCTGCTGTGTACTTCGGGTCACAACTGTGGTGACTCCTCTAAGGACACAGCCATCAGCAATACATCTGAGGGCTGCTCCCTCTAGTCTGGACAGGCTGGAAGCCACCAGCTGGGCTATGAGAAACTGGCTGCCAAGTCCTGGCACTCAGCCCCACCACTGCACTTAATGAGGGGCTGCTCATCCTTCTCAGGCTGTTCCACAGCAAACAGCAGCAGAAGACTGCCAGACAGGATTGCTTTGGGTCTGTACACCATGCACTGACCTGCCCCATCCCTGTGACCCCTGGCTTCTTCCCCAAGGCTGCTCAGAGGGTGGCTGTTCCATGCTTTGCACCAGGATGTGCTGATACCATGGAATGTAACAAGAACAAACCAGGAACCACTGTGATGTCGAAGGAACAGCAGATTGATTGAAGAGTAATTTACTTTGACTGTGCTTTATTTATTTGCTTATACGTACTGTTCTGTATTTGCTAGTAATATTTCATTGTAATTCAATTATAGTGCAATGAGGGCTGTCAATTTAAACTTTTTTAATGTGTGACAGTGATGCATGCTTATGTATGTGTGCATGTGTATCTGTATATGTGGGTAACTGTGTGTGTGTTGGTATATGTGTCCACTTGTAGGAGTGACTACGTGTTTACATATACAGGACAAAGCAGGGGAGGAAATGCCCTCGCTGCTAAGAACTGGCTCTCTCTGGAGGGACCAGCAGATGGTGTAATGATTATGTCGCTGGACACCCACATAGTTGATTAAAGTTTGAGTCCCAGACCAGCTTAAAACTCACACTGTGTGCGTGTGCATGCGTGCTCAAATCTCTGGGAGTGATTTCTTGCTTTCTGTCTCTCTGTCTCTGTGTTTCCGGTGAGCGCACATGCCCTATAGCAAAAACCTCTCTTAAAAAAAAAAAAAAAAAGAACTGGCTCTGTCTAGAGAGAGCGTCTCTCATTTCTTACTTTTTTTTTTTTTAATTATTTGGATTGTGTGTAATTTTTATTTTCATATTGGTGTTTTTCAGAATCTTCAAGGTTTAGGCCCAAATCAAACAAAGCAATCCCCACATT